ACTCCATAGTGATGGAAGCCTTATGAAGTTCATACAACCATTAAATATTTTGAGTTATTAAGTATATAATTATCAAATTTAAGCTATCTATTACGCCCCTATCTGAACCACCTCGGAATGTCCACCACCACACACTCCGATCTGCTAGACACCTACCCGAAGTAGTTCCGAAGTGATCTCCCCAACGTCAACAACCTGCTGTCACACTGCGAGACATAGGCGATCCTGCTGAACTGACTGAAGCGCCTTTGTCCCTGAGTTTGAGTCGAAGTGCACTTCGGCGACCTCTGTCAGAAGATCCACCGCCAATTTCAGAAGGAGATCTTTGCCAAGATCTTTTCTGCCCCTAAGGTTTAAATTGATTTGATGTCTCCATAAGGCTAGTTGATGTGACTTATCAACTTTATGTCAACTCAACTCGAGATAAGCAATTACCCGCCCGCTCTACAAACACGGGTAATTGACGCCTAAGAGCAGACACCTCATATCGTCAGATGTATACACGTGCCCCACATTCAACGGTTCATCCCACCTATAAATACCCAAGGGTTGGCAAGAGGCAAAGATAATGAAACTCTTACTACATAGCACTCCATAGCAAGCATATATATATTTTCTCCTCCCCCTTATTATTTTGCACAACCCCTGGGTACTGTTCGGACCACTTGAACTTGACTTGACCGTCGGAGTGTATACGACCGCCACCCCCCCGCTGGTCCCGATCGTGTGCGTCTGACCATGCGTTGATTGTGCACAGGGAGGAATACGTGGAGTAGCTCTCGATTGGCCTCATAGAAGGTCCAATTTTCAAGGTCAATAGATTGGCGCCGTCTGTGAGAAGCACTTCCCATTCAAAGTTCTGCATTTTCCACCGAGAAATCACCGAAAAACTAGCGACTAATCCTGAAAAGGGCACGTTCTTGAAAAAGAACAAAGTCGAGTTATAATCCAAGTTCTTACCACCTTTGAAAAAGGAGATAGGATGAGTTATAGCCATGAAGACGACAACCCCATGAGAGAGACCTCTGAAGAGGAGGTGCTTCATAACAAGGAGTTTACCAGAGACCCCATCACCGGCATCGCCGAGGTGAAAGAACAGCATTGCTCATTGAAGGAATGGCTCAAATAGCTACGGGCATGAGAGACATCGCAGCTCAGAATATGGCGATGCATGAACTTCTCATGCAAGCCCGATGTCACCAGGGCTCTCAAATTTCCCAAGGATCTTAACCAGTGCAGGAAGTCTCAGTATCTCATTCTCGAGGCCACATCAGTCAGCACAGAGAACTCCCCCTCGAAAGAGAAGTGGGCGCCGAAGCCACATCTTATGTGCAAGGGAACCAGCCATCAGAACCACACTTGGGGAACAATTTTCCTCAAGAATATGAGGAACAGAGGTTGGTAAACATCTTCGACTGAATAGGGGAGGATCTTAGCAATAGGGTCCGCCCAGTGAGAAGATCAGTTCGGCAAGATCAGGAACAAGAACATGCTCCTCCTCCTTCTAGAAATAAGAAGGACAGGAAGAACCTAGTCGAGTGGGGAGTCGAGGAGAAGCACCTCCACCTCTTCAGAACATTCAAGATGATGAAGGGTCAGATGGGCCCTATCGATCTTATGAGATTGACGATGATGATGATAACCTCCATTTCTCAAGGGAGATCCGAAGCTTCCCAATACCAGCAAATTTCATGCCCTCTAAGATTCCCAAGTATGAAGGAAAGGGGGACCCGGAGAAGCATCTTACCACCTATATGACACAAATGAGTCTCAGAGAAGCCTCGCCTGCTTTGAAATTCAGAGCATTCCATTTAATACTAGGCGGACTTGTCGAAGTGTGGTACATAAGGCTTCCTTCCCTAAGCATTAGAAGTTGGCTAGATTTGAAAAAGGCATTCTTGAATCAGTACCTCTCACGAAGAGAAGGAGATGCCCAAGTGCAACGCCTATAAGACATGAGGCAGGCCCCTGCAGAGACACTGAAAAGCTATCTCGCTAGGTTTATGGATGAAATCACATACTGCGAACAGGTCACTGATAGAGAAGCCCTTTTAGCTTTGAAAGGCGACCTCAACATGAACACTTTGTTCTTGAGGGATGTGCACAGCAAGAATCCTTTCGCCTATGACGAACTCGTGGAAATGATGAGAGTTGAAATCATGAGTGAAAAATGATTGATCACCGAAATCATGTCGCGCAGGGACTCTCTCTGCCTCAGAGGCAGGTAGGTCGAGGACCCACAGCACACCTTGTTACTCAGCAATGGACTCAAACAGGACACACAATAGCTCCTACCTCCGGACAGGCACTAGCTTCTGCCATACTATATGCAGTCTGGTATTGGCATATGAAAATGCTCCTAGAAAACGAGGCCATCTGGGAGAAACGATAGCAAGAAAAAGAAGAAGAAGTGATCAAACAGGCCCTTGGAAGGGGTAAGGTTTTGCACTTTCCATCAACTCTATGGGCATGACAACAACGAATGCAGAGACGCTCCTTGACGCCTAGACCAGACCGACCCACACCACTCCAGGAGGAATTAATATCCTCGTAGATCTATCTCCCCGAACAGGGGAGATCGAAGGCACAGAGAGCAGTTATCCCTGAGAAGAGAATCAAGGGACTAAAGAGAGTCGAGGCAGAGAGACCTGGCCCCATTTTCTGGGCCCCAAATCATTCGGGAAATCGACACCATCATTAGGAGACCTACATCGGTGGCAACACTAGGAATGCCCTGAGGAATTATACAAGGAAAGCGAAGGACCCACCAATGATCACTTACATTGTCAACGAGTCCCAAGAGGCCAATAGGATGGCCCCAATAACCTTCTCCCAGGAAGATGGGCAAGGAGTTCACCATCCCCATTGTGATGCACTGGTTGTGAGAGCCGTAGTAGCCAGAAACGGGCTCAAATGCATGCTCGTCGAAAATGGCAGTTCGATGAACATATTGTTCAACTCTACCTTTGACAAAATGTAGATTGAACATGGGTTGATCCCCATGACCGACCTACTATTCGAATTTACTGGGGACAACATCGTCCCATGAGGGCGGATCACTCTGCCCGTCGAGATGGGTTCGGCGCCCCTAGTGGCCCAACACTTCATGGAATTCTTAGTGGTAGACCATAGATCGGCCTATCATGGAGTATTGGGCAACCCACTTTGAAAGATCTTTGGACCGTCACATCCATCCACTACTTGTGTATGAAATTTCCAACTAAACATGGGATTTCAACGGTTTAAGGGATCAGATAGGCTCCAGGGCATGCTACTTAAATTCACTATGAAAGTCAGAGCCCCGAACTGTTAATGTAATCCTAACTGAGGTTCCCACTGAAACTAGTATAGACGTGAAAATGCTCGACGCCCCTGAACAAGGGCATACCTCTGAACAAGAGGAAGACGTCGACATGGAAGAGGCCCGTGAACAAGGGCACCCTCTTGATGAGTTAGATCCCCGAAAAATTGACTCTGAACCAAATACAACCCCAATGGAAGAACTGAAAACTTTTTCCACCAACCTAGAAGACCCCAGTCAGGTCTTGCGTATAGGGAAGGCACTGTCCCCCGAAGCAAAAGAAGAGATGATAAGCTTCCTGAAAAGGAACTTGGATGTCTTCGTTTGGAAGCATGAAGACATGGTGGGAATAGATCCAAGGATCAGTTGCCACCATCTTAACATCAATCCCTCTTGTGCCACCCATCGACAGAAGAGATGTGCCCTTAATCTGGAGAGGTACGAGGCACTGAAAGACGAAGTAAACAAACTTAGCCATAGTGGTTTCATAAGGGAAGCCATCTACCCAAAGTGGATATCCAACCCAGTCCTAGTGAAAAAGCCCAGTGAAAAGTGGAGGGTGTGCGTAGACTTCACAAACTTGAATAAGGCATGCCCTAAAGACAGCTTCCCACTTCCAAGGATAGACCAACTTGTGGATTCTATTGCTGGACACGAATTGCTGAGCTTCATGGATGCATACTCAGGGTACAACCAGATACCCATGTTCCAACCTGATGAGGAAGCTACATCGTTTATTATGGACAGAGGTCTGTATTGCTATAAAGTCATGCCCTTCGGATTGAAGAATACCGGAGCTACATATTAGAAGCTGGTCAACATGATGTTTACCGAACTCATTGGCAAAACCATGGAGGTCTACGTGGACTACATGTTAGTCAAAAGCCTCCAGGCAGTCGAACACATAAGTCACCTCGACCAAACTTTTCAGATACTTAGAAAATATAAGATGAAGTTGAATCCCCTCAAATGCACCTTTGGAGTGGCTTCGGGTCAGTTCTTAGGATTTATTGTCAATCAAAGGGGAATTGAAGCAAATCCAGTGAAAATAACGGCCTTGCTAGAGATGAGGTCACCTCAGAAACCAAAGGAGGCCCAAAGCCTCAATGGTCGGATAGTCACACTCAATCGCTTCATCTCCAGAGCCACAGATAAAAGCTTGCCTTTCTTCAATGTGCTTAAGCAAGGAAAGAAGTTCCAATGGACTTCTAAATGTGAGGAAGCCTTCCAGGCGCTGAAAAAGCACGTAGGAGAGGCACCCCTCCTGTCGAAACCTCAACCAGATGAGTCACTACTACTATGCTTAGCGGTTTCGGATGTGGAGGTCAGCGCCATTCTAGTCAGAGAAGAAAGTGGCGCTAGTTGCCAGTGTACTACGTCAGCAAAGCACTTTTCCCAGTTGAAACACACTACCTAGAGATGAAGAAACTGGTACTCGCCCTTATCACAGCCTCAAGAAAGCTGAGGCCATACTTACTGGCCCACTCAGTCGAAGTTCTCACCAACTTCCCATTGAAACAGGTGATGCAGAAAACAGACGCATCAGGATGCCTACTAAAATGGACAATCGAGCTCAATGAGTTCAATCTATTGTTTCGATCTTGACACGCCTTCAAGGGCCAGGCCCTTACAGATTTTATGGTTGAATTTGCCAAAGCCCCAGAAATGGAGGCGATAATGGAACCAGCTGAGCCCCCACATGGAAATTGTTCGTAGATGGGTCCTCATGAGAGACTGGCTCTGGGATAGGGATCGTCTTGGAAAGCCCAGAAGGCCACAAGCTAAACTGCGCAGTAAGGTTTGGCTTTAAAGCCTCGAGCAATGCTGCTGATTATGAGGCCCTTCTGGCAGGTCTTAGACTTGCTAAAGGGATGTAGATCAGAAGGCTCCTGGCGAGCAGTGATTCTCAACTTATAGTGAATCAGGTCAATGGGAATTTTGCGACCAAGAACAGTAGCATGGTTGTATACTTGAAGTTCGTTCTGGACCTAGTTCCTCATTTTGAAAGGTTCGAATTGACTCAAGTCCCTTGCCTAGAAAATACACATGTAGACGTCCTTTCAAAATTGGCCAGCAACAAGGACTTAGAGTTGCTAAAGGTTGTCCCTATTGAGCACTTATTAAAGCCCTCCACTTCCGGAGGTAAAGAGGTACTATGGATAGAAGGTACCCCATTATGGGTGCAGCCTATCATCGCCTATCTGAAGGATCAATCACTGTCTGCTTCTAAAAGCGAGGCGCGAAAGTTAAGAGGAAGGGCTGCGCACTTTGTCCTGCAAGAAGATACTCTTTACAAAAGAGGCTTCGCCTTGCTACTTCTCCGATGCGTGGGAGGTGAGGAGGCCACATACATACTCAGGGAAATCTATGAGGGAATCTGTGAAAATCACTTCGGAGGAACGGCTCTAGCACACAAGGTTCTCCGTCAAGGCTATTTCTGGCCGATCTTGAAAAGGGACGCTTGCGAGTTTGTCCAGAAATGTGACAAGTGCCAGCGCTTCTCAAATATTCAAAGGCAGCCTTCTCAAAGCCTCTCCGTAGTAACCAGCCCCTAGTCATTCGCCAAGTGGGGTATTGACTTCATTGGTCCACTCCCAAAAGGAAGAGGAATCGCAACTTTCGCCATTGTCTCCATTGACTACTTCACTAAGTGGGTCGAACCTGAACCCCTTGCCAAGATCACCTACGCGAACACTACTAAATTCGTCTGGAAGAACATCATTTGTAGGTTCGTCATTCTCCACTCCTTAGTGTCCAACAATGGGAGACAGTTCGACAATAGGAAGATGCGAGAATTATGCGACGAGCTAGGCATAAAGAAGGACTTCTCAATGCCTCATCACCCTCAAGCAAACGGACAAGTTGAGGCAGTAAACAAGATTATCAAGCACACCCTGAAAAGGAAGCTTGACACATCAAAAGGGGCTTGGGTGGACGAACTCGCCCTCTGGGCCATCAGAACATCTAGCCGAACTGCAATAGGGAAAACACCATTCTTGATGACCTACGGAGCCGAGGCCATGAGCCCGGTCGAGGTCGGGGTCCCATCACACCGTCGGATACACTTCAATAAGATTAGCAACGACGAGGCTCAAATAAGCGAACTCCACCTCCTTGAAGAAAGGAGGGATGCTTCCTAAGTAAACTTGGCAAAGTATCATCGAAAGATGACCCGCTATTATAACTCGAAGGTCAGAAACAAACTCTTCGCTTGGGGGACCTCGTCCTCAGAAGGGTCTTCCAATCTTCAAAACTAATAGGGTCCGGAGTGTTTGGACCGAACTGGGAGGACCCTTATCACATCCATAGAGAATCCCAACCTGACACTTTCGAAATTGAAGACATGGCAGGAAAGACACTACCTCATCAATGGAACATCGAACACTTGAGGAAGTACTATCAAAGATGAGCCTTTGTTCCGATCCGATCTCAATATTATCTAATGAATTGGTATTCTGATATGATCTCAGTTGTAAATTCCCTAGCTTACTAAGTGCTGAAATTACCTTGGTAAAGTGTAGTGTAATTTGTTAAAGTAATGAAACTTCGGTTCTGTGCCACATTGGTTAGTAAATTGTTTCCTCAGTCCTTCAATATGTTTACTTAAGTGATCCAATCTCCAATTGTTAACTGATTAACGTTAAGATGCACTTCATGTTTACTTAAGTGGTCCGCTTCATATTAACTTGAGTGATCCGATCTTCTGTTATTAACTGGTTATTGATAAGAGGCGCTTGGTCTTGGATGTTCATACAAGGGTAAACAAATCAATACAATAAGATAGCAGAAGCACCAATATTTAACAAAAAGTTTCATTTCATTTACTTGAATTTGAAATACAAAAGCCCAAAGCCATTACAAAAGTTGGCCTTATTCTACTGAAGGGTCTTCTTGGACCGCTTCTGCCTCGACCGCCTCCGGGGCCTCCGAAGCTTCTTCAGCAAGCCTATCAGGCCGACCTTCAGTTGGTCTCTCGAACTCTGTCACCAAAGAGGAGATGTCCAGAGTGGGGTGGACCTCTTTCAGCCGACTCAGCAATCCTTGGGCACTCCAGGAGGCCCAAAAGTTGGCGAAGTCATCGTACAAGGGGTGTTATTCGAAGTGGTCAATGAAATTTTGAACCACCACCTTCCCTACCGACTTCATCTCCTCCTTCAAGGAGGCGATCTCCTCAGATTGAGCCTCCGCCTTTTGCCTCAGCTCCGCCTTTTCTTTGTTTGAGGCCTCCAGAGCCTCCGTGGCGAGCCGATCGTGCTCGTTGGTGTGATCCACTCACCGAGTCATGGCAGCCACCTGGCACTCCACCTCGTATAGCTCTTTCTTCAGCCACTCCACTTCTGCTCTAGCGGCAGTCAGCTGGGCCTCGACCTCCTTCCGTCCCTTCTCCTCCTCAGTGGCCTTGGCCCGGGCCTCTCTCACAGTGTCCCCATACTGCATCGCTTCCTCGAGGTGCTTGACGAGGTCCTTCCTCTTAGATTTTAGATCCTTCACCAAGCCCTTGAGTTGGATGCTAGTCCTGAGAGCCCGGGCCACGCAGGCATTATTGGCCACCACCAGGTCTTCGGCTGTGTAGGAAGAGGTATGGTCCCTCCACTCTTCAGTCCAGTATTTGTTGTGGACCACTGCCACCACAGCCGTTTTTGGAGGAAGGGCCTCCAACACTTCTTTCACCGGCTCCTCCGGGCTAATGCCCAAGAAGTCGACCTCCTCAGGGGGCACTTAGGCAATAGGCACGGTAGCAAGTGGCGATGTGGCCAGGGCAGTAGCAACCTCTGCTGGTACAGGCCTCTTCTCCGAAATGGCCACTCCGGTTGGGATTGTATTCTGCTTCAGAATGGAGGGTGGCCTTGCCACAGTTGAGCATTTTGAAGGGGCGGCACTCTTTTTGCCCTTCTGTAGCAGGTCGGCCTCGGGGTCCTCTGGCACCTCCTCCTCCATCGGAGGCTGGAGCCTTTTACTGGCATCCATCAGGTCCTTCAGTTGCTTCTTGTAGGTGGAGGAGGAGGTCTTTAGCGCCCGTGCCTCTGCAATCATCCTTTGGATGGTATTAAAGTCGGGGCGCACAGGCATCTTTTTGTTGAAGTTGTCTGCAAGGAACACATGATGAATTAGTACAAGTGTAAATAGTTCAGAAATATTGAAGGGTAAAGACTTCGGGATAGTTACCTTGAGATGCCATCAGGTCGTGTGTAACGAAGTGTAGATTTTTTCTGATCAGCCGATAGTATAACCTCTTCTTCTAAGGCAGCTGATAGATGATGCAAATGGTGTTGAAGTCTTCAGAAGATAGTTCGCACCGAGGAAGAGTACCTTCAAGAGAAATACAAATGTTAGTTGCGATTCGAACCGAAGAGAAATATAAAGAAACGCAACTGCGATACTCATTAAGTGCTGAGTACTTCATGGGGACCGTAAGAGGTGCCAGGGGGTTCCCCTCCATCATGTCCCATCGTCCTGCGGCCCAGCACCATGAGCTCTTCCACTCTTTGATGGAGCTCGACAGATCGAGCAGGAATGAAGTATGGGAACCCCATGAAGTAAGGTTATACCAGTCCCGGGTGTCAAGGACCGCAGCTATTATTTAGTGATATAAAGGGTCTGAAAGATGGAGAAGGGCATCTCAACCCCAAGTGACGCCTCTTTCAACAACATCTAGGAGCCCATCATTTGGCTCCAGGAGTTCGGATTGAGTTGGGTCAGAGCTAATCCATAGGACCTAAGTACTATCCTAAAGAAAGGGTGAATTGGAAGCCTAAGGCTGGCTCTAAGGATCGCCTTACTTATGGCCATGCACCTCGACTTAGGGTAGCAAGCCCTCTCTTTAGGCTCGGGAAGGATCAGATTTATACTATCTAGAATCCTAAATTCTACTCTAAGTCTCTCTAGGTCGGCCTCCTTTAGTTTGGAGAGATAATCCGACGCCCTTAGTGCACAGAAGTATCAACTGGGCTATCCGGCCTCTTCCATATATTCTCCCCCAAGTATCGCTTCGGCTATATCGAAGGAGGTCGCCAGAGTGGGCTCGTCCATCCTTATTAATTCTAGGCCCCACCACGAACTAGAACTTCCCTCAGAAACCATTTTTCAGAATGTACATGTCCCAAAAGTTACTGAAGCTTACGAATTCAGAGGTTTCCCTAGTCGAAAATGGTCAGGAAATGGTGTAAGGTTGCCAAAAATTGATATTTCTAGTCGAAAACGCTCGAAAAACGTCGGAAATTATGAATGATTTGAGAGCAAAGTAAATTTTCTGTTTGCACGAGGATGAAAAGCTTCAAAGACGCTCGAAGTCCACCTTTTATAGAACGCTCCAGCTGATCTCCACCGGTGAATTCAAATGCAATCAATCTAGGCCGTCCGTCGCATCATCAATCTAGGCCGTTGAAATGAAATGCCAGATTTGATCTACGCCTAAGATCTTGTTGTGACCCTCACGCTCCCATAAAATGCGTCACCTCGGTCACCACTAGCCGTCGACAATAAGTAGCCGCAGCAGCCTTTTAGGGGAATGGGCATGGCACCCAACTGTCACCTTGGAAATACGCAACAGCTGTCAAATCATTTAATGTCAGATGCCTACTTCGGGTCGATCTCCTCACTCAAACTTACAAAGCTTAGACGTACCTGACGTAGAGTCCCCTATGGGTCATCGTCTCGGTCGCTGGGTTCCCTCCTAAGCTTTATAAAGTTTTAGTCATCTCTCAACGCGTCCTCCCTTGTAGGTCAGCGCACCGATGGCAGATGAGCTCCTCACTCAACTTTACAAAGCTTAGACGTACCTAACGTGGAGTCCCTTATGGGTCATCGCCTTGGTCGCTGCATTCTCTCCTAAGCTTTACAAAGTTTTAGCCATCTCCCAAGGCGTCGTCCCCTGTGGGTCAGCGCACCGGTGGCAGATGACTCCTCACTCAACTTTACAAAGTTTAGACGCACTTGACACGGAGTCTCCTATGGGTCATCACCTCGGTCGCTGCGTTCCCCTCCTAAGCTTTACAAAGTTTTAGCCATCTCCCAACGCGTCGTCCCCCGTAGGTCAACGCACCGGTGGCAAATGAGCTCCTCACTCAACTTTACAAAGCTTAGACGCATCTGAGGAGAGTTCACTGTAGGTCATCGCCTCGGTCGTTGAGTTGACCTTCTTCCTACGCATAATCCAATCTTGCAGCACTTTGGTCTCACATGAGTAATTGTTTTCCTTACGCAATAGCGAAACTTTAGAGCATTTGCCTAAGATCATCGCTTTGGCGAATGCGAAAGATTGGGCCACAAACTCCCACAAGTCACAGTCCACATACCGAGGCATACACATCTGATCGGAAAGGTAAGTCCACCCATGATATAAATATTCATACTTAGACTTGGGGGACCATTGTTACCCTCCTATCTGAACCACCTCAGAATGTCCACCACCACACACTCCGATCCGCTAGAGACCCACCTGAAGTGGTTTTGAAGTGATCTCCCCAATGTCAACGACCTGCTATCACACTGCGAGACATAGGCGATCCTGCTGAACTGATAGAAGCGCCCTCATCCCTGAGGCCGAGGTGAAGTGCACTCCGGGGACCTCTGTCAGAAGACCCGCCGCCAATTTCAGAAGGAGATCTTTGCCAAGATCATTTCTACCTCTAATGTTTAAATTGATTTGACGTCTCCATGAGGCTAGTTGATGTGACTTATAAACTTTATGTCAACTCAACTTGGGAGAAGCAATTACCCGCCCACTCTACAGACGCTGCTGATTGACGCCTATGAGCAGACACCTCATACTGTCAGATGTATACACGTGCCTCACATCCAACGGTTCATCCGACCTATAAATACCCAAGGGTTGGCAAGAGGCAAAGGTAATGAAACTCTTACTACATAGCTCTCCATAGCAGGCATATATATATTTTCTCCTCCCCCTTATTATTTTGCATAACCCCTGGGTATTGATCCGACCACCTGAACCTGACTTGACCGTCGGAGGGTATACAGCCGCCACTACCCTCACTGGTCCTGGCCGTGTACGTCTGATCGTGCGTTGATTGTGCGCAAGGAGGAATACGTGGAGTAGCTCTCGATTGGCCACGTAGAAGGTCCAATTTTCTAGGTCAACACTATCTATTTTGGGAAAATTCTGAAATTACTATAAATGCTAAGGTCAAGCAGAATATATTAGCTTTAAATAGTTATTCAGGATTTTTCTAAGATAATGGAATAGGTTCGAAGGTTGTCACAAAACCACTTACTTGACATATTGTCCAGCCAATTACTCCACAACTTAAGTTTGACTATTATGACACTAATATCTAGTGTTATTGCTAACGTTTCATGATACCATTTTTATTGCAACCAATGCATGCATGCCACAAAATCTATACTATATTATTTCATTTACCTTATGAATATCGTTGTTCTAGGCTATGCAACCATACCTTTAGGATGAATGATACCCTTGTAGAAATACGATCTATTATTATTTCGCCTTATATTTATGAGCATTTGAGTAGGTCAATGGGCCCAAAATTATTTTATTTGAATAGCGGATATATTGTATTGTATTTTAAATTGTTGTATTAGAGATATTTTATTATATCGCATGATGAATTAGTCCATATTACAGAGAAAAAGTAGTTGAAAATTTGAAAAGTTATAGTGATAAATATTCTTTGAGGATTAACTGTGAAGCTTTGAGGTGGGCCACGAGCAATCAATATTAACAATAATTAGATGACATTGACATTCATAATTGAACTCGAGAAATACTAAGATTTATGGAACTATTTTGCAATGCGATAGGTAATTTGAGTTAATAATGTCATTTAAATTATTTTGGCCTAAATAGATATAGTACGAGGATTGTGTGTGTGTTAGGTTATCAAATTGGGGATCATGTTTAATATTAAATTGTAATATAGGTAGTTTTCCAACTTTAAGTGAAAAGTGAATTGATCTACACTCCATAGAAGTGCACAAACAAGGGTGAAAAGTAAGTAAAAATTCATTCGCAACTACAGTGCTAGAACATAATATTTGTGATATAATAATGTTGGAAAATTTATACAATTTTGATTAGGAGCTCATTGTATATCATATGGTGTTTATGATAATTGAGTATGTGGTTTCAAAACATATTGACATCAATTTTGATTAAGTATGTCATTCACAAGCATTTTCATGTGCATGCACGACATACGTTCATGGTTGAAAATCTAGCATACACAAACAACAATATGGTAAACTTGAGTTTCCTACTAAATGTTTTGTTAACCACTACTAGGGCATCGATGCATGCGAGACATGCCTATATGATATGGTTTGGTATCGCGGGTGATACTTTCTGTGTGATTGCAAAGGTATATAGGAAATGGACGTTTGGTAATCATGGGAGGGTGGACCACTTGATTGTGCCTTTGTGATATTGTGATTATTGGCGCTACCGGGTGGGATACTTCTCGGGTAATCATAAAGGCAGGTAGAGGATGTGCCTTTAGTGGCCATAAAAGGCTAGTTCACTCATCAGTGTCGATGGCATAATGCCCATTTGATTATTGATATTGATACTGTGCGAAGCTTTATCCGGTACATAGTAAGTGGTTTAAGGGCCTAATGAAAGGAAAATATTTAAAATGAAACTATTTCAAGTTAACTTTGATGAATATTTGAATATGATACATTTTAGTGTGATGTTTCAAAGAAATGACATGCCTGCATATATTCGTATTACTCATACTCATAGCATACATATTTTTATTTATTGGGCATTAATTCATATAGTTCTTGCATTGTAGGTGAGCATGAAACTCCGTAGAGAATATCGCTAGTTGTGAAGCTCGTATGGGATTTCGAAATTTGATTATATGGATGATGATTTGTAGGGTTATTTTTGGGTTGTTGTTCTAGTCTTATAATCTATTGTGTGTGTGTGTACACACACACACACATATATGATTTTTGAAATGACATGGTAGATACTTTTGTAATCCTCAAAGTATATATGTTGAAATTTGGTTATATGGTCTTTGGTTGTAATGTACTATATATACATAATAGGTGATTAGGCGAGAATCTATAGGGACCTTATTGTGAAGATGCTTATTTTATTTTATGATGGTAAAAATAAAATGTAGAATCGTATGTTTAGGTTGGATCATCAAATTTTTATTCCAACATAGGTTAGTATATTGTTGTCGATATAAACGGGTTGTGACAATTTGCTATGCTAAAAAATTATATGGCATGTACGAAGTGGAGAGAGACCAACATTGATAGACTCAACATTGATTGATAATTGAAATTGGACTTTCCAAACCAAGCAGTAATACTATCTTGAGTTTGCGAGCCTTTACGAATTGACACCACTAAGAGCGAACATTTCTAATGTGATGTGTTATACACAGTCTCAACCATGAAAAATTAAGAGCACGTGAAATAATGTGTAAAATGCAAAGGGCTAACATATTTAGTTATCATAACTAATCAGTGATTTCTATGTGACATATACATCCAGGACTTACTTACCCTCAAGGCCCTATAGGGATATAAAAATAGGTACAG